ATTTTTTCTTTTTTTATAAAATCAGAGCCAGGACCAGAGAAGAAACAGGCTTTAATAAGTGTTGGGTTTGATTTATTTATTTGTTTGCTGTCTGGACATTTCAGCAACAGGCTACTTATCCCATAACCGGCTTCCTGGCCATCAGCCATTGCTCTGAGTGCACCCAGCTTTCAGTGTGTTGCCTTGTTGATCCTTCCCTGTCTCCTCAGAGTCCCCAGGAGAAGAGCCGGAGCTACAGAGGGCGGGCCGGCTGAGGGTGAGAGCTGGTGGGACCGTGGGTGGAACCCTGCCTGAGGGCCAGGCTGCAGACTCCAGGCGGACTCAGCCTTGCGTAGGGAAGAACTGAGGTCCGGAAGACCAAATGACCGGCCTGGGTCCCACTTCCCAGCAGCGCACAGGGCTGTCACCTTCTAGACTGTGGGCTTCCCCTGCAGATCTTCAGGTCTCAGGGGCTGAGAAGGGTCCCCCGCTCCTGGTACCCTTGTCCCACTCTGCGGGCTGCTGAGGACTTTATCCTGAGAGGCTAGTAAAGCGCAGTGTTTATGGTACTTGGCTTTGTGGCACGTGAGGTCCCTGGGTGACAGAAACATCGGTGCTCTCTGCTGTGAACCAAAAGGTGCGAGGTTCAAGTCCCCCAGAGGTGTCTGGGGAGAAAGGCTTGCCCTGCCCAGCTCCTTTGAGAACAAGTCCGCCGTCGGAAACCCAGCGGAGCGCCGTTCTACTCTGACACGGGGTCGCCACGAGTCAGCATCATGAGTCAGCGTCATCTCAACGGCACCTGGTTTTATTTGTTGAGGAGAGAGAGTGCTGTCCCGAGTCCTGGATGTGAAATAATATATTAGATAATCAAAAAACCAAACCAACCCCATTGCTAGACCGGGCCGGTCAGTCTTCTCATCAGTAAAATGAGGAAACCCTTAGGAGAGACCGCGGAGGTCTGTCGTGAGGCCTGTCAGTCACTAGGCACCTGGCCCAGGGCCCCGTGCGTCAGAGCGTCGTGAGTGCTCTGCAGTTAGCTGTGCTTCCTCTTGTCATTTTACTCTTTCCCAGATGGGCTGGGGCTTGGGGACCGGCGCTGAGCAGCAGCTGGCACAGCCTGGTCTGACCCGCCTGCTGCTGCCTGCAGAACCCTCGGGCATCACAGCTGGGGGCACAGGACGGGAGACCTGCACAGGGGTGTCAGGGGCTGGATCGGGTTGGGATTGGCAGAGGCCAAGGGAGCACGGCCTTCAAACTCTGTTCTGGGAGGGTGCTCCTAGAGACTGAGCTAGCGGCGGGTGGGGGGCTACCCCCAGCCCTCCCCCCAGAGCAGTGCTGTGTGGTTTGCTCTCTGCATTGGAGCGAGTTCGGTGTAAATGTTTCATTGCGGGGGCGGGGGGTAGCGGGGAACTGTCTTGCATAAAATAAAGAAGTTGAAAAATTTTAGAACACTGAGTTGGGAGTGCCAGGCCAGTGGGGCAGGCTGACGCTTCCTGTACTGGCCGGTTGGACTGCTGGAGACTGCCCCCTGCTGGAAAGGATGGTGCGAGACGGAGGGAGAAGACAGCTAGGAGTTTGTGGAAGGGCAGGGATGAGTGGTTGCTTTAAGAGACTTTGGAACAAATGAATAGAGAAACCTCGGTAATAGGATGTTAGAGCTGACGGGGACGTACATCTCAGGGGGTGGAGAAACCCAGTCTGTCACTCCTGGGTACCCCCGCATTTAGCACTGTGAACAGGTTCCATGTATCTATCCTGGGGCTCCTGCTTCTGGGCAGAGGGGCGTCACATCCAGGTTTTCACTGGCCCTGAAGAGCCATTAGGTCCTTGTGTAAATATTTATGTAGAAACTCTGGTTTCCTTCTCCTGGGAGATTGACGTTCCCTTTGCAGATGTACTCGCAGGCTTATGTTTGGGGACTTTGGTTCAGGTGTGTTTGGAGCCTGTCTCAGAAAGCCACACCCTTTGAGTCCCTCGGGGGCCTGCTCTTAGAGCTGACTGTTGTCTGCCATCACACCTACCTGGGGGGCCTGGGGTGGTTGTCGGCAGCAGTTTACCACAGTCAGGTGTGAGGGGGTGTGAATTAATGCTGCCGGGCATTGGTGGTTCAGGGGTAGAATTCTCACCTTCTGTGCAGGAGACCCTGCCCAGTTCCTGGCCGGTGTCCCTCGGGCAGCCATCCCCGTCCATCAGTGGAGGCTTGTGTGTTGCTGTGACATGGAACAGGTTCCAGCC